AATGAAGAATCTGTACGGTTAAATGACGAATTTGAAATGCCAAGTAAAGAGTCTGAAATATCAAATGAGGAGTCTGAAATACCAAGTAAAGAATATGAAATGCCAAGCGAAGAATTGGAAACTCCTACTGAAGAGTCTGAGTTGCTAACTGATATCCCTCTAATCCATATGACTTCTACCATTGGTCCAACGACCACTGCCACAAAAATGAAAAGGAAAAGAAAAAAGAATAGGACAGGAAAAGGAAGAAATAGAAAAATTGGGAAGGGCAAAGAAGAGAAAAACAGGAAAAGGGTTCAAATGAACAGAAAAGAGACAACAAAAGTTTCACCTTCGACAACAGTATCTGAAATAGAATATATTGAACCAGGTGAAGAACCTGAAATGCCAACTAAGGAATTTGAAACACCCGTTGTCGAATTTGGTATGCCTAGTGAAGAATCTGAAGGTGAAGAATCTGAAATATCAAGTGAGGAATATGAAATGCCAAGTGAGAAATCTGAAATGCAAAATGGAGAAAATGTAATACCTGGTCCGGAATCTAAAATGCCAAGTAAGGAATATGAAATACCAAGTGAGGACTCTGAAATGTCAAGTGAAGAATCTGAGAAATCTGATCTCTCAAATGAAGAATTAGAAATTCATAGTGACAAATTTGGAATGCGAACAACAGTATCTGAAATGACAGGTAAAGAATATGAAAAGTCAAGAGAAGACTCTGAAATGGTAACTTCAAGCCAATTGCCTACAAAATTAACCACCATTCAAACTTCTTCAACTACGATGACGACTACGATCCTTAAGAATATAAAAACTCCAAGCAATCAAAGTAAAAACATCAAAAGCAAACGGACAAAGACAAGGAAAGAAAAAGGAAAAATTAAAAAGAAACAGATGAGGAAGGGAAAGATAAACAGGAAGAAAGTTAAAAGCAGAGAAAGAAAAATGACAACGACAATTCCTTCGATAACACAATCTACCGAACCAGGTGAAATGTCAACTAGAAAACTCCAAATGACAAATGAAGAACCCGAGATAGCCAGTGAAGAATCCGCGTGGTTGAGTGAAAAATCTGAAATGCCAAGTGAGAAATCTACAATACCTAGTGAGGAATCCGAAGAAGACTCCGAAATGCCAAGTGAGGTTAGAGACTGGTACGAAATTCCAAGGAATGAAAATGAAATGCCAAGAGAAGAATCTGCAATACCTAGTGAGAAATACGAAATACCAAGCGAAAAACTTGAAATGTCAAATGAAAACCCCGAAATGCCAAGTGAGGTTAGAGACTGGTACGAAATTCCACGGAATGAAAATGAAATGCCAAGTGAAGAATATGAAATGCCAAGTGAAGAATATGAAATGCCAAGTGAAGAATATATAAATGAGAATTATAAGACGTCAAATGAAGAATTGGAAATACCAAACTACGAATATGGAACGCAAACTACAGAATCTGAAATTTTGACTACGAACGAATTGACTACAACTTCAAGCATCATTCCGACCAAAATCCATATTCCTATCTTTACAACTACAACCACTGTTCCAACGTCTACAACTACCACCACGGCTACAGCTGATTCGAGTCTTAAGACTTTAATATCTCCAAGGAATCTGAAAAAGAACGATATAAGGAAAAAATCACGGAAAGGAAGTAGAAAAAATATAAAGAAAGGGAAGGGCAATGAAAAGAAAAACAGGAAAAGGATTAAAAAGAATAGAAAAAAGACAACAACAATTCATCCTTTGACAACAGAATCTGAAAAAGAACCAGAACCAGGTGAAGAATCTGAAATCTCAACTAAAATGTCCGAAATGGAAAAAGAAGAACCTGAACCAAGTAGGGAATATGAAGGGCTGAGTAAGAAATCTGCTATATCAAATGAAGAACCTGAAATACCAAGTGAGGAACCTTGGCTGAGTGAAGAACTGTCAAGTGGGGAGTCTGAAATACCTGATAAGAAATATGAAATGCCAAGTAAAGAACACGAAATGTCAATTGTGGAATCCGAAACGCCAAATGAAGAACATCTATGGCCGAGTGAAGAAAAGCTAATTTGGGAGGATTATCAAATACCCAGTAAAAATCATGAAATATCAACAGAAGAGTCTAAAAAGTCATTTGAGGAATTTGGAATTCCATATAAAAATTCTGAAATGTCAAATGAAAATCCTGCGATGCCAAGTAGAGAATATGAAATGCCAAGTACAGAATCTAAAATACCAATTGGAGATTATGATACATCAAATAAATTACCTGTAAAGGACAACACTCCACTGGTATCAGTCACTGCCCCATGGACTACAAACAAATTACCAAATCCTACAACTTCAATTACTATTCCAGTTTCAACGAACTTGAACCCGAAAATTCAAAAAATCGGAAGCAAAAAAAGACGGAAAAATAAAAGAAAAGGAAGAAATAAAAAGAAAGGGAGAGGAAAGAAGAAGAAGAAGAAAAATAAACTAGAGAAATTAGAAGAAAAAATTTCAGCTTCATATATCACCACGACTGAATCTGTAATAGATAAGTTTGATTCACCAAATAAAGAAGTCGATGTGTCAACTAAAAAATCTGAAATGCAAAGTGAAGAATTTGCATCACCTAGTCAAGAAACTGGGATACCAAATCAAGAATATGATATGCCAAGTGAAGAATCAGAAATGTCAAGTGAGGAATCTGAGATGTCAAGTGATGAATCTGAAATGTCAAGTGAAGAATATGAGCCGACATCCTCAACTTCCTATCTTATTACTAAAATTACTATTCCAACTACATCTACTACTACCATCCCAACAACTGCGACCACTTTTCCAACGTCTACTGCAATCGCAACGAACACAGCTACGATCCCAATCGCCTCGACCACAATTAAACCAACTGAGATTAAAATAGTGGCTCCAAAGAACTCGAAAATTAAAAAGATCGAACGGAATAAAGGGAAACCGAAAAAGAAAAGGAGGGAAAGAAATAAGCATAAAAAGATTGGCAAAAAGAAGAAGCAGAAAAGGAAGAAATCGAAGAAATCAAAAGGAAAAGAGAAGAAGAGAACACCAGTTCCAACCATAGTGAATGATTCAGTAATACCTACAAACTCGACTGCCAATCATCCAACGACAACTTCAACAACAGCGTTTCAAAAGCCTATGGCCACAATCCCTATTACTACAATCCCGAGGACAACGACTACAATTTCTTCCACGACAACCAAAATTAAAACAACTGAGATCCAAACGTTGGCACCAAAGAACCCGAAAATTAAAAATAAGAAAAGCAAAAGACAACCGAAAAAGAAAAGAAAAGAAAGGAATAAAAAGAAAGGTAAGGGA